TTGCTTGCCAATATATCTCATGAACAAGAAAAAAAAAATTTAAGAAATTCAATTCAAAACCAGAATCAGACTACTTTCCAGTGAATAGAATCCATCCATTTTAGCCTGTTAAAATGGATGAAAGAATCATCTTAATGGTTAAATGGATCGTCGATTTGTTTTGTTTTTTGTTTTCTTTTTGAAAAAGTCAGAAAAATTTATCATCAACCCCACTGCATCATCAACAATCATTAGGATGTTGAGGAAAAAAATTTTTCACAAGCACCGAAATCAATTTATCAAGATCAATTTAATTTTTCCATTTCATGTCGTCATGTTTTACAAAGATGTTGAACAAAGGAAAAAACATTGAAAAGTGAACGAAAAAAAAATCAAGAAATAATTGGATGCACGAGAAAAAAAATAGCAATTTTTTTTTGACAATTTCATCATGATGATGGAAATGTGGAATCAGAAAAAAAATTTCAAATTTCCACCTGTTATCTGGACCATATTTTTGCTGCACACACACACACACACACACACAAAATATCGAGTTTATTTGCTAATTAGTAGTTGACAAACGAACAAATTAGTTTCAATCAATTTTCATTCATATATCTGGTTCATTTGAAACAATGTGGGCGATAGATGATCAAAGATGATTATCAAGATGATGGAAACGTACCAGAAAAAAACCCGTTTGTTAACCGATCCGTTTTTTTTTTTTTTTGGTTATATACACACATTCTAAACGATTAATTTAAATGGAAAAACGTGACATGAACACTAGAAAAAAAAATCTTGTCTTTTTGTCATTTTGTTATTATTGTCGGTTATTAATATAAACAACCCAATACAACACAACACAAACACTATGGTTATCCATAAATCTTGTCTTGTTTTGTATATTTCGTTTACTATTTTTAAGTATTTTTTTTGCTCTAAGTTCATTTTGGTTGTTGTTGTTGTTACACACAACAAGGAATAAAATAATAACTACAATAATAATGTGTATATCTTGGCCTTGCCAAAAAGTCAACAACAACAACAACAACAACAACAACAACAACAGCAACAGCAGCAGCAAAAACACAAACAATTCCGAATTAATTATTCAATTAGTAAACAAAAATCCAAAGAAAGAAAGCCATAAAGTCGAAAAATCTAATAAGAAGTAGGAATTTTTTTTCCTTCACCCCAAAAAAATAAACCCGAGAAAAAAAAACTTTCCAGACAAACACACAAAAAAAATTCCAGAAACTAAATAATAATGATGAGCGTGTGTGAGTGAGAGAGAAAATCGATTAGTGAATATAAAAGAATCGGCTTTCGCTTTTGTTAGAATTCGAATAGTTTATTCATTTCATTTCATTCATTCATTATTTCCACAAAACAACAACAACACATTCTCACTGTTTGGAACAAATGAAATCCATCTAAAAGCTGAATCCATATCCATACGATTATAATCTGAAATGATGATGAAATAAAATCAATCGAAAAAAAAATGCAATGGAAAAATGTGTGCAAAAACACTAGAAGACATACCTAATTTACGAAAGAAAAAGTTGTCACACTTTTCAACAACTGGAAAAAAAAGTGAATAAAATCAAAATGGAAAATATTAGAGCGGCAATCGAAACTGAAGAAAATAAAAAAAAATATTGAACTTTTCATCGTCGTTTATCGTTATCGTTATCGTTGTCGTCGTTGTTGTTGTTGTCATCATCGTTATAATAATTCACTCTTTATTGGTAACACTAACATGAATTTATCGATTTCATTGCCAAGAACCAAGAAAAGAAAATCTAATGATTATATTCGTCGTGTATTCACACTATTTCTCTCTCTCTCTATCTGTGTGTTAGATTTCGATATTTGTGAAAAAAAAGAAAAACTTTTTTTCCGCATTCACGATATCGATTCTATCGATTCTTGTTTTATTATACTCACTACTTGATATTCTAAATATATACTGATAAAGAAAAGTGAAAAAACAAACAAGTGAAAATTTTCCATTTAAATATATCAAACTAATTCCGGAATTAGCTTTTCAAGTGTTCAGTGTGTGTGTGTGTGTATCATGAGATTTTTTTTTAATATGAAGAAGAAAAAAATCAAACTGATTCATTCAATGTTTTCTCAATTACATTATTATCATCATCAATGTCATGTTGTTGAATTTTTGTTTTCTGGATCGTTTCTTGATACATGTCTCCATTCTCTCATTATTATTATTATTATTATCAAACCCATATAATCAACATTTCTTTAATGTCATTTCAATGTCATCTTTGAAATTGATGTTCAATGTTGTTGTTGTTGTTGTTGGCTGCATTTATGTAATAACAAGAACATCATCATGTTTTCATTGGAAAAAAAAAAAAAAAAGGGTCATGGAACTTTTCTTCAATGTTTTTTCCTGTCATTCGTTGTTGTTGTTGTTGTTGTTGTTTTTGGCTTCTCAGAAGCCAAAAAGAGTTAAATTCAAATTTTCTTTTGATGACAGAAATTCTTTTTCTCATTCAAAACAATTTATCATGACGATGTTATATGCGTGTATCATCATCGTCAGATCGACCACTATCGTCATTCATCTTTTAATCATTGTTAAATGTTGAAATTCTTATTTTAAGAATGTAAAGAATAATGGCAAATAAAAAAATATTTCCGATTATGTTATATAACTACAGACATAGACACTTGTCATTTTTGGACCCTTCATAAAACAACGACAACGACAACAACAACAACAACAACGTTGTCAACCAGAATTTTTTTTTTCGTTCAAAGAAAAATTTAAAGTTTCAACACACAACAAAAAAAAATCACCAACAACATTTTCATAGTCAACGTTGTTGTTACAGAATTAAATTTGACACAAATTATGCAAAAATACTTGAAATTGGTGATTATGATGGTGGCCTGTATGTAATTCAAATTCATTGCAATTCATCATTATTCATCATATCTTTGACCTTATAGTTTGTTCGCTTTATTCATTGTCCTAACATATGTAGGGGTGTGTGTGTTTTTGGAATGAATGAATGAATAAAAAAAAAACAATCCAACATTCGACAGCAAGAGGAAAAAAAATAATCGAAAAGAAAAATGTGTTATAACCATCATGGTTGGTGATGATGTAAATCAAATCAACGCAAATATATAACGAACGAACGAATAAACGAAAAAAAAGTAAAACATTTTTACACACACACACACTTGGGATTCCTGAAAGTGGATTTTATTTGCTTATTTTTGTTGTTGTTGTTGTTGTTGTTCAATATTAGATCTTGTTATTTGATGTTGTCGTTCGTTCGTTACATTTCAACGTGTTTGTGTATTTGAATATATTTATTTTATACATAAAATGAAACAACAACAACAAAAACAACGATGTAACCTGATTTTTTTTTCTCATGTGTTCATATTTACCATATATCAAAAAGAAAAAGAAAAGAAAAGATTCTTGCAATGAAAACATCACATCACATCACACAAGAAAAAACGAACAGCAAATAGTTTTTTTTTTCATGATTATCAAATCTTAAAGAATCTATGCAGTGTTGTTGTTGTTGTTGTTAAGGTTGGTCTCTCAAAATGAAAAAAAAATTTTCATTTTAACCCGTTATTTTTGTTGTAAAAATTCATACATCTTAAACAGGAAAGAAATGATGATTTTCGAACACAGAGCGAAAAAAAAATCGAAATCTAATTTCATTTCATTTCATAAATGTTCAACCAATGGTGGGAAAGAGGGAAAAAATATGCCAAGGTGTGTGACAAATTTGTTTTTTGCATCTTAAAGATCATATGATGATGTATGTGACGGAAATTGTCATTGCGTGGGGGCGGGGTGGTGGTGGTGCATGAAAGCGGCTTGCCATTTGATTTGAACAAATCAAATTTAAAAAACAAAAAAAAAATTGAAATTTCGATTAGATTTCTACTTCTACTATACTCAATCATAGTTTTATCGTTAATCCTATTTCTATCTATCTATCTATTTTTTTTCAAGTTTTTGTTCCGGGGTTTTATAGAATTTTTTTTTTGTTCAAAACAACAAAAAACAACAACTCACCTGTGTTGTTTGCCACATCCATTCAGTAAATTCCCTTATTTTTGTTTTTTTTTTTTTGATTTCCAATGATGTTCAAATTGAATTTGTTTTTTTTGTATTCAACATTCATTTCAATAATAATGATGATGATGATGATGATGAAAGGATATCCTTTTCACCAAAAAAAAAACAACAGATGAAAATCTTGGGACAAAGGTTATGTCCATGTATGGATTCTGGTTTTCTTTTAATAATATTCTGATTATTAGAAGAAAATTCATGAATAGAAATAAACAATTTTTAATAATGATGATGATGATGATGATGAAAGGATATCCCCACCATTCACTGCATGTCATCATCGTAATATATATTGATAATTAATAATGAAATGAAAAAAAAATAAAGAATGTTTATGTATAAACATGTATTATCATCGATTCTTGAAATTCAATAGATTTCCGATCCATAATATAAATATTGTATTAGCCAATGTGAAAAAAAATTCAGAAAATCTTAATGGGCTTTCGTAGTTATCGCCATTGATATATTGGTAGGTGTGTTTGTTTTTATCTCTAGTTCATCTTGTTTGTTCATATTATTTTGAAACGAATAAAAATGAAACATTTGTCGTTGGTGGGTGTGTACGTTTATACTGGAACACACACACACACACACACACAAATTCATTAGGCAAATATAAACAACCACAATAACAACATCCACAAATTGATTACCGAAAACGATTATTAGTGTGTGTGTGTATGAATAAACGATGATGTTGAAGAATTTACAGAATCCACATTTGCGAAAAAATCAATTAATAAAATTATTATTGAAAAAAAAAGATTTTATTATTGTTTTCAATTAAATCAAATCAATTATCGTATCAATTTCATTTTTTTTTTGTTTTATTAGGTCTGGAACATTGTTTTTTTTTTTGGTTTTTGTTTATTTATGTGTGTGTGTTCCAGAAACATACATAAAAGCAAAAGCAATAGGTTTTTTTTCATTTGGGTGTATTTAGTTCGATGGTAACAATAAAAGAATGACAAACAAACAAATAGAAAAAATTGATACGACAATCGTTGACATTATTTATCATTGAAATTATCGATGAAAAAATCTAAAAAACAATAATTATTGTGGTCCAGGCGGACGTTGTTCAACCGTAGGATCGGCTGGTCTTGGTGGTTGTTGTGCATCATCAACATCCATAGAATCTCTTGCCGGTACAGCTGGTGGCTGCGATTGTGTTGAACGGCCACGTTTTTCAGAATCAGTCAAACGGCTTAAAAATTGTTCTACATCATCATCTTCAAATATACGAAATGGAAAATCTTTGCCAACAATACCGATACTAACATTTTGTGTTGTTAATTGTGTATCATTTGGTAGACATTCACGTAATGCAAGTAGACCATGTCTGGCTAATTCATCACGTGAACAATCAATAATTTTATCCAAATGTTTTTCCAAATATGTACGAGCTGATTGTGAACGTGAACCGATTGCCATTGATTTACAATCAAAATAATTAGCAGATGGACATGTTTGATAAATATGTGGACCAGTTTTATCATAACCAGCAACAATCAATCCAACACCATATGGACGACGATCATAACGTTGTGTACAGGTTTGCATTTTCAATCCCATATCCGCCATTAAACGATTCAATAATAATGGTTGTCCATGTGTAAATTGTTCATTAAGACATTCATTACGCATATAACGTGTTAATATACGGCCATCGGCTGTTAAACCAGCAATAGCAACACCAATATGATCATCAACCTGGACCAATTTTTTTTGATACGATGATAATTCATGTGATGTACGTTTCAATACGACCAATACAGCAAATGTATCACGATTTTTTAATCCAATCGCTGTTGATCCTTGTTTGACAGCTTCCATTGCATATTCAACCTGATGTAATCGGCCTTGTGGTGACCAAGTGGTCACATCATTATCATATTGATTACGAAACATTATTTATGTATTAATGACAATGAATGAATGACACAATCAATTGAAAGTATATAAATTCTGGAACAAGAAAAAAGAAACAAATTCAAGAAGAAATATAATCAAAAAACCGGCAAAATAGAATCTCACAAAATGAATGAAAAAATCGAATATGAATTTGACAAACAACACAAAGAACACACCATCAGCTGAATCAGCGTGACAATGCATAAAATATTGAGAATGCGCCTAGCAAACGCACACACACACACACTCAAAAACGAATGCCCTTCATAAACACTAGTACATTTTTGGAACGAAAAAAAAAATTGCCAATTTTTTTTTATTATATAGCACAAAAAATTGGCAATTTTTCTAATTTTCTTCATCACTGAAATTCTCTGTTTCTCATTAGGATTTTTAATGTTTTTTTTCTTTTCTTTTTTTCATTTAATAATAATAAAAAAAATTAGAATCGCAATGAGAGGATTCCATTTTATTCTGGGCTCCATTGATGATGATGATGAAAAAAATGAAATTAATTTTGTCAAAATGAAAAAACTTTTTCATCATCATCTCGAATGATGAGATCCGAATCATATCATTCGAATTTTTTTTTTTTATTTAGTTCCATTGTTTTTAGAGTGATGAAAAAAACACAATTGGAACTTTTCATTTGACAATTTCAATTGTCATCGTTCGTTCGTTTGTTATTTCGTATTTATTATATAATTTATGAATAAAAAAAAATTTTTGTTAAATTCTGGATGATAACAAAAAATGTGCGAATATTTTTTTTGTTAAAAATTTTCCGACAAAAAAAAATGAAACGGTGTAGTCATCCGATCAAATGAAATGAATTTCACCAGCCTCTAAGATTCTCGGCAGTGTGTGTGTGTGTGTGTGTGTCTTAATTATTTAGAATGGAAAAGTTTTTTTCCCTTAGCCAATTCTTTTGCAAAGCAAATGCCTCTATATCGATGACAATTAATTGTTTTTGAATAAAAACTTTTTCTTTCCATCTATTGAAGTCATTTTGTCTTATCATGTAATTCATTCCATCATCTCAAATATAATTATCGATCTATAATTGGCGTGTATGTGTGTGTGTGTGCGTGTGTGTAATAATACCCGAAACGGAAATTTTATTTTTTTTTCTTTCCTGTCCAAAATAAAAATCCTTGGCAATAAACAACAATCAATGAATGAATGAATGATGATCAAACGAATTAGAGAAAAGTTTTGTTGTTGTTGTTGTTGCGTAGTAACAATCAACAAATGACATATGTCAAATGTTAATCTTTTTTTTTTCGTTTGTTGAGGACAATGGGAACAATTTCAATTCTGAACATTTGTTGTTGTTGTTGTTGCTGTTGTTGTTGTTGTTGTTGTCGATATCTAATCCATCTAAGAATCCATCCAAGATACAAATACAAATGTCATTGTCAATAATGTTTGATCTCAACAACAACAACAATTTATATGATATGTTCTGGAAATTCTGAAAGTTTTTTCAACTATTCTCATTCCAACGGAACTGATATCAACAACAACAACAATAATAATAATGATGATGATGATGATGAAAACAATAACCAAAAAAAAAAACAAAAAAAAAGAAATGGAAATAATTCAATGGTATCCCAAATACCATTTGGCAAGAATAAATAATAGCCCAAATGATATCCGTTACAAGCATAGAGATTTTGCTAAGAAAGAAAAGGCCAAGAAAAACTACAACAACAACTACTAACACAGTCCTACATTGATCACCAAGATGGTTGAACAACACACACACATATTGGCTTGAAACAAATTGATCTCGGATATTGTCGTTGGTTGATCGTTCTAGGTTGGTTATTTGTTTCGGATACTTAATCATAACCAAAAAAAAAACAAAACAAAACTGATGTATATGAACTCAACAACAAACAAACAAACAAACAAACGAGTAATAACGATACATAGAGAAAGAAGTAATAAAGAACAAAAAACAATGGAATTTGTTTCAAAAAAAAAAGAAAAATTGCCAGATCAACACATTTTGTTATTATTGTCTCGCCACACACACACACACACACTCATAAACAACGTTTTGGTCCATAATTTTTGTTTTTTGGGACAATTTTCTTTCTTTCCACGCCATCATCATCATTATATAAAGAAGAATTGTAACCGTGATTTATATATGTAGCTCGTGTTCCGGAGATTTTTTTTTCATTCTTCTTTCATTGGTTATAGTGTGTTTATATTTATTCTGAACATTTTTTGTGATACTGTTTTTCCGGCCATAATAAACAATATATAATTATTTGAAAATTTTTTGAAGAAAAAAATTTTTTTGGCAATTTTTTCTCCACAAAAACTTTTTTTTTTATTTCATCGATTCTAAACCGATCGTGGCTAAATTACATTCAATTAATTTTATGACGATTATATCAGCGACAAAATGTGAATGTCTCCTACTGTGTGAATCTATCAAAGGGAAAAAATTTTTTTTTCTTTACAAACAAATCAACAAAAAATCAAATGAATCGGAACTTGGAAAATAAAAAAAAATTTCATGATCAATCGACATTTCTCTTTTCAATATTATATATCACAAGGGCAGACAAATATAGAATATTTAATCGAATAAAAAAAAAGTCTCGTCTTTTTGTTGTTGTTGTTCCAATAAATAGTTGAACCATTTTGTTGATTCTCTTCCCGTTTTTTTTTTTTTTGTTGTTGATGATGGATAAAAAAAATTCGATGATAAATCAATGATGACAACTCATTTTTCCGGTTTGCCATAGTGGTAGTAGTGATGATGATTGTAGTCTTGGTGCAATAGCAATAAATTTGTTCTCCATTGATTGCCGGGTCATTTTTTGTTCAACATACAACAACAACAACAACAACAGCAAACAAAAGTCAAAAAAAAAGAAAAAAATCTTTTGGATCAATCTGTCAGATCTATTTTAATCTTGACATTTTTTTTTGATCTCATTTTTTTTTCTCCAATACAATCTCAAATCTGATGGTTGATCTGTCATTGAATTGTCTGTGATGTCAAATATCATCATCATCATCATTGGTTTATTATGGATTCATTCCGGAAATACTGAACAATTCACTATAATGTTATGTTTGATTTGAATCGATTGAAAGAATTTGAGAAATTGTGAAATGATGGATACAATGTTTGTGTATACATTGTTCATTTGTGTAAGTATACACAACAACAATCTTGATCCAAAAAACGATGATGAAAACAAAAAGAATGAAATTGCAAACAAATTATGCTAATTAATGCAAATAATCTAATTAATGAACAACGAAGAATTAAGAAGAAAAAAAAATGATCATCGAACAACGGAATGAATTTGGTGTGGGGGAAAAAAATTCAACTTGAAAAGAAAAGAAAAACCCAATTTCAATCAACCGGATAATGAATTTTGGAACAAAACATTTTATATATGATTTCAATGTACAGTGAATAACGTAGTGAATGTACAAAAATAGATTGGTTCTGAATTTACGGAATTTTTTTTTTTTTTTTTGAATACTGAGAATTTTTTTTCACTGATTTCAATAGGTTGTTGTTGTTTATTGGAACAAAGTAAAATTCCATTCACGAAACACAATTGAACATGCTGCGTATTCATTGGAATTTAATTCACATTGAATTTTTTGGCATACAAATTGATCATCATTCTTTTCAAAGTGAATAATTTTTCTCTTGTTGTTATTCTGGTTGATCCAGTAGAAAACAGAATTCTTTTTGTCCGGTAATTTTCCATCCAGGACCAAATGTGAACAAAACAATGAATCATTCTATTGATTTCAAGTGAAATTAATTTTATTTTTTTTATGAATTTAAATAATATTTGTTCATTCATTCAAATTCATTGATTTCATCATTAATCATCATCATCATCATATTGATCATTGTAATTTTTTTCCTGGTTTCGTACATTCATTTCAAATTGAAATTGAATGACAAATAAACATTTCTAAACGAAAAAAAATGAATTTTATTACAAATGAAATGTGTGATGATTTAATGAATTCAACACTCATTTTTTTTACAGGAGAAGAAAAACAATCTCTCTTGAGTTCAATTTCCGGAAAAAGGAAAAACAAATGAAAAACAGAGTGAAACCGCAGCAATAAAAAGAATTTTTTTCACACACATTTTTTTCTGATGAAAAGTCCATTTCCTTTCCGTTGGCAAAGCCAAAATTAAAAGTCAAAAGACCTTTTTTTTTATTATTGATCTTCATTATCATTTTCAAACACACACCCTCACACACACACAACCTGTGTGTGTTTTTCATTCATTCATTTGATGATGATGAGAACAAAATTGATTTTAAACACACACCCTCACACACACACACACACACACACAAACACAAGAATCGTGAACATTACACTATTATAGATTCTGTGCCAGGAGGAAAAAAATGAATTCAAAATCTAACAACCAAGAATCGAAGAATTGATAATTTACATTTTCAATTTAATTTGAATTGAATTGAATGTAATCGAATATGGTGTTTTTTACTTGAATTCATCAGGAAAAAAATGAATAAATTTTTTTTTCTTCAAAAGTATATTGTAAAATTTTCTTCTCTATGACTATAGTCCAATTAAGCATGAGTTTCTAATTTACATATTTTGTTTGTCATAAAACTTTTCTTTCTCTCTCTCTCTCTCTTTCTTTCTCGATGGATAGGGCATGATGAAGAGAATTGAAATTAAATTGAAAAAAAATTCAATGGTCATCGAATCGAATGAAAATAAATGTTTCATTCGTTTCCTTGAGTTGAATTTGGTTTCTTTCTTTTTTTCATCAATATAATTCTGTTCATAGTGTGTGTATCTGATGGTTCAATCATCATCATCATCATCATCGATATATATTACCACCATCATTATCCATAATGAATGAATAAATGAATTTTTTAAATTTCCCTCGTGGTTTTTCTTATTTTTTTTTCTTGTTAATGCATATCATGGAAAATATTCACTGGAAATCATCATCATCATCATGATCATGATGTTATAAATGTCAATCCGTTTCCAATGTAGCCAATAATGATCATGATGATGATGATGATGATTGTATTTACCATGAAATCATTATTCTATAAATCGAATTTTTATATTCTGATGTTATTTTCGTTGCTCTTGTTATTATTGTAGATTCATATTCATCTATTCAAGAATGATTATCGTAGTTGATGAT